AGACCCCGACCCGACAAACAGATTCCCGCCGCTCAATTTCGGGTCGACAGAGACACCACCGCGCATTCACGACAATGCACCACCGCTCCGCTATCCTAGCCCAAAAAACCCGCACCGGAACAAGCGTCGTCCGCCGCCCTAGTCCCGGAGCACGAATTCTCCCCGGGACACCCCCACCCAGCCCTAGCAACCCAATCGCAGCGCAACGGAAGGAATCCAAGAAAGCAAAGGAGAAATCCGAATCGATTCGAGATGGGGGGCAAAGAGAAAACGCTCGCCGCGCACCTCGAATTGGCCGGATCTGCCGCGGGGCCCGGCTGGCGAGGACCGTCGCGGGCGGCGGCGGCGGCGTCTGCGGTTTCGGCTCTTCCTCGACGGTGGGGGGCGGCAGCGGTGTCGTTTAGATCCGACGCGAGCTCCGTTGCATTTTCTTTTGTAGCTTTGCGTGTTCGTGCGCGTATGGTGAAATGTCGATTATGGGGGAAGGAAAGAAAGACGAGACGGGGCCCGGAAATTCCACACACTGTTTCAGTTTAACCCCCCGAACTCCTTCTTTCTTCGTCGTTTTTGGTTTCGGTTTAACGTCAATTGCTGTTCAGGCTCATGAATCGGAGTTTCCAATAGAGAAAATGACACAAACAATCTCTGAATTTTGATCCGATGTAAAATTTGATCTCTAAACTTTTGATTTGTTCAATAGAGTCCCTAAACTTTAGGCTAATGTGCAATGTAATCCCTGAACTTTGCACATTGGGCCAAAGTTCAGGGATTACATTGAACAAATTAAAAATTCAAGAATCAAATTGCGCATTGGGCCAAAGTTCGAAGACTGTTTGTATCATTTTCCCTTTCCAATAGGGATAGTGCATCGATCCAACCCGAGATCCGAACTGGTCGAATCTGAATGGTTCTTGGTTTCAAATTTCCGATCCAAATCCCGCCTCCACGTAAGGAATTGGATTGGACCGGTCCTTATTTGTGGATTATTTTTTCTTTCCACTTGTAGGGTACAAAAGATATCGAAAAACAAAAATCACTGGTCCCAGGACCGACTCTTAACCAAATCGGACCTGTCGGTCCATTTTTGGGACCAGATGGGCTGGTTCCCAGTCTCACAAAGTGGGAATCAACCTTGCCCGATCCGGTCATTGGTTCCAGGGTGGGAACCGACTCACCTTGAAATCGATTCAATCAAATTCTAAAATTCTGATATTCATCCCATCGAATTATTTTTTATAAATACATAGATTAACAATTCTATTTTATCTCTTATGCACTTCGATTCTAAAACTTGAGTATTTTTTATTTTATTTAGTAAGATTACCAAAAAATTTCACATCCTGAAATATTTTTTCTCAATATATACACGCGTACAATCAATAATTTGTTTCCATCAATTAATAATTCAGATATTTTGCAATGAGGCGATCTTGCAAAGTCTCTCGAATGTCAATTTTTCGTACGTACAAAACACGTGTGCGCTCTTGCTAATACAACTGATGGTAAGCAAAGTATGTGCTCTTTGAACATAACCATGGTCGAAGTCATCCTTCATTTGAATAAGGTACTGAAGTTTCGACAGCTAAACGGTCGCATGAAATTTCGCGGGGTTTAGAATTGTAGCACACTTTTTCGAAACGACCGGTATTTGATCGTATGGCGTGGGCGTATAAAACGAAGGATTTATGGTGTAATTCAGTCATTACGATTTGGTATACGGAAGGGCGGACGTTGGTTGGGACCTTGATGTGCACGATTCGAGGCAACAACTTGCGAACCAAAACACGCAGGGAAAGCGACGCTTCAACCTTAAGGCTTTTTGAATTGGTGCAAATGAAGAAAGGAAAAAAGAGTAATTTTCCACCAAAAAAAAATATAAGAAGAAGAGTAAAGAACAAAAGAATTGATTTTCGAATTTTAATTTGAAAAATCATGAGAAAGATATTGGGAATCCGTACAGAAAGTGAAAAAAAGAAGAAGAAAAGACTCTGTATCATTAAAGTCAAGCGACTCGAAACGATTGACTTTAATAAAAGACCAAAAATCTCCAAACTTTGAAAATATGATCGCAGCTAAGGGCACGGCATCTCTTTTATCTGTTCATTAGGGCGAAGCATCTAGGTATTTTCTGCTGTTCGGTATGGAAAATCAAATTTGATTTTCCTCCGTACACTACTTCTAATATTTTATTATTTTTTAAAGTCGATTTTTTAAATTATTTTTTAATTTTTTGTATTACCTTCTTCTTTGGCCATGGCAAAGGCCGGCGACCGGCCACAGGCGAGCTCGAGCGTTGCCAATCTGGAGAGGCCCAAGCCCCACCGCCCCCTGGCGATGCTTGAGCTCGCCTATGGCCGGTCATCAGCCTTCGCCATGGCCAAAGAAGAAGTTAAAAAAGAAAATAAAAAGAAAAAAGATAAATAAGAATTAGATTTTTTTATAAAAAGAAAATAAAAATAATTAAAATGAATAGTGCAAGGATAAAAAGAGAAAAACATTTTCCTCATTTTTGAATGGAAAGAAAATGATTCCCTTGACTAGTTTATTTTCTATAAAACGAACGCCTGAAAATCAGAAAAATATTTTCTTAGAAATTATTTTCTGTGAAACAAACGGATCACTAAAGTTCCCAAAACTCGTCACTCGAATTCGTCCAACAATCCCATCCCAGAACGACGTTAAATTTGACACATCGAGATTGCCTGAGGTGTGAACGCGCGAAACCCTCCATCCTTTCACTCCCTTTCTTCTTTACCTTTTTACCTTCTTGGGTCCCCCCTCTTCTGCCACCTATCCCTCGGACTTCAAGGAGTTCGAGTCAAACTCCACACGTCAATAATGGCCACTAGCCTAGTGCCCATCTGTCTCCAATGACGTCTATAAATTTGACCAAACAAACATAGAACTTTAGCAAACTGTTCCAATGAGAGCCATCCATGTTTGCCTCATCTCATTATACATTCATTCTTCCTTTCGCGCACGAGAACAGTATAGCCTATAAGCAACCACCAAACTCAATTTCATTAATCGAATAAGAAACAACAACAAAAATTGATCATAAAAACGTTCTCCAAATTTTTGGTTGTTACAGCGACCGTCGTGATGGCGACACTCCATCTGATTTTCGCAATTGTTTTTTCCTAAATTTTTGGGCGTGAGAAAAATCATTGTTCGAACCGTTTCATAAAATATGTCGAAACTTCTTATTGGGGCTGCCCGCCTATCCAAATGTATACACCTAGCGGGTTGGCATGACTATGTTCCTTATTTTAACGTGCTAATGGACGCAAGCCCAGTCCCCCTAATTGGAGAGAAAGTTTTCCTTCCCTCTCTCCAGGGAATTACCCCGTAGTTTAACGTACCAAAGTTTGGACAAAGTAGTTTAAAGACATGCTCGGGTCCATTTTTCCTAAATATTTGCACGTAAGAAAAACCATTGTTCAAACCATTTCATCCAAAATGTCGAAAATTCTCCATGGAAAGGATTAACAAGTTGTGTGCACTTTGCGTCCGACCAAATTTAGCTGAAAGAATCACGTGATCTACGGAATCAATGTAATTATTGCCTTCTTTCTTGGATAATATATTCATGAAAGTTATTCACGCTTATATTGTATTGAGATTGCGATGAGAAAAATATACTTCGATACTAAATATATTAAACAAATATAAAAATAGAAAATTCATGTCTGGTAGGAAACTTATGGTAGTTTCTAATTAGCTGTAGAAATAGTTTACTCGACCCACCATTAATAACAAATGAATAGAACATTGGGACTCTCATTATCCCTTTGATTAAGTACATTACCAAATAAATAAAAAAAGAAGAAGTCATAATAAAGCAAATCAGGTAAAAAAGTGTCATAGGAAGGAAAATTCTGTACCGCCAGCTATTCTTTACATAATAAAGAAAAATTCGAAAAAAAAAACAGTAATAAAAAGAAACGCTCCGTCTTTTAACATAGCCATGCCCAATTTTAACTTCCAACAAAAATTCGACACCCCTTTAATATTATAAGAGAAAATGATACAAATGATCTCCGAACTTTAATCCAATTTCTAATATGCAATGCACTTCCTGAATTTTTAATTTGCGCAACGTGGTCTCTAAATGTTGGTCCAATGTTTTATATGGTCTTTAAACTTTTAAACACTTTTTCATATAATTTAGGAACAATAGTGAACATTTACCAAAAGCGTAGGGACCGCGTTTAAATTGAGTAAAGAGCCATTTCGATCATTATATTAAGTTTGAGAGCACAAATTAGTTAATTTATCAGTTTAAAGGGTATTCTGATCATTTCTTAAAATTTTAGTTCGAGGTATAATGCATGCCTCGCCTGGGCATTTGAACAAATCAGGCATCCAAAAAGGTGTGTTTTCAACCAAAACGGCTAACAACGCCCTCTCGCAATTTGATCCACATCGGCTACAAATTCGCCCAATTTTTCCAACGAAATGCTAACAGGGCGGAGACGTCATCGCCCCCCGGGCGCCATCCATCCTACCAGTCGCTTTCAACTCCGATCGAGTACATCAATTACGAATCCGAAAAATTGAGCACCTCCTTAACCAAGTGAATGAAAGATGAGAGAGAGTGCAGCAATGTCGATGAATTTCATCATCATGCTTGGGCCACAGGTGGAACTTTAGCAAAGGTTAAGGTGGGTAGGATGAAGGAATCATGATCCAAAATCAGTCCTAGGTAAGTAGGAAAGCAAAGGCAAGATGTCCGAACTGGTTTGAGCTCCTCCCTCCCTCCCTCCCTCCCTCCACCTTCCCCCCGCACCTTTTCCCATCAATGAAAAAAAGTCGCTTGTTTTAAGCCCCCTCTTTTTTCGCCCTCCTGTCATGCACTTTGGCGTGACTCATCGGTCGTCCTAACACTCCAAGAAAGAAAAGCAAAGAAGAGTTGCAAACAAAAGCCCCACCTTCCCCATCTCACTCTCTCTCTCTCTCTCCTCATCTCCTCAGATTCATCCGCTTCCTTTAGGGTTCTCTCTCTCCTTCCTTTTCTTGCGAATCCGAGACTCCAAAGAGCCCTCACGATTCAAGATTCGGCAACTGTGCGTGCACACCCTCCTCCGCTCTTTCGCCAATTCGAAAGAGACCCCCCTCGTCACCTCGCGCTCCCCACCTCGCGATCTCCGCCCTTCTCCTTTTCTTGGTGGGGGGTGGTGCGTCCGATCTCACGTGGGTCGCTCCTTTTTTCTTCCACTTCGCCTCGTAGCTTCTTGCTTTCTTCTGGGTAGTTGAGAAAGATTGCTGGGTCGCTTGGATTTCCCCCCCGTTTGTTTTGGTCTGGTTTCGCTGGGAGTTGTTAGGTGGGTGTACGATGAAGATATCTTTTTACATAAATCCCGACTAGTTTCAGCTCTTTAGTTCGGTTCCTCGTGCACCCGTTGAGTTGTTTCTGCGTTTTGGTCACTTGGGTTTTGCGGAGTTTGAGACTTTGGTTAGTGTGGGAAACAGGGTCGTGGATTTTGTGGATTTCGATGGCTGCATCTGGGGATGGTGCTGCTGGTGTTAAGGGCGTTGAGAAGCTGGTCTCTGCGAGGAAGTCATTGATGCTCAGCTTGGAGAAGTCGAAAGCCCTGACTTCGAAGCTGGAGAAGACGGGCCCGAGATTGGCCGAGATCAACCAGAGGTTGCCCTCTTTGGAGGCCGCAGTCCGGCCTATCCGCGCAGATAAAGACGCCCTCGGTGCTGTGGGTGGGCACATTAACCGCGCAGTCGGCCCAGCCGCAGCGGTGCTCAAGGTTTTCGATGCTGTGCATGGCCTCGAAAGGATGCTGTTGTCAGATCCGCGCAACGATTTACCCGGGTACCTGTCGGTGTTGAAGCGACTCGAGGAGGCATTGAGATTTTTGAGGGATAATTGTGGATTGGCAATCCAGTGGTTGGAGGATATAGTGGAGTATTTGGAGGATAATACGGTGGCTGATGATAGGTACCTTTCGAATCTGAAGAAATCATTGAGGAGTCTTAGGGAATTGCAGAGCGATGGTGGAAGAGCGCATCTTGATGGTGGGCTCCTCGATGCAGCATTGGATAAATTGGAAAGCGAGTTACGTCGGCTCTTGACAGAGCACAGTTCGCCCCTTCCAATGTCTTCTACATCATCTCTTGGCGAACAAGCTTGCATTGCACCGTCTCCATTGCCAGTAGCTGTCATTCAGAAGTTGCAAGCTATTCTTGGGAGGTTGATCGCAAATAAGAGGCTTGATAGGTGCATATCGATATACGTAGAAGTGCGCAGTTCCAATGTTAGAGCAAGTTTGCAGGCTCTTGATCTGGACTATCTTGAAATGTCAATCTCAGAATATAATGATGTTCAGAGCATAGAGGGGTATATTGCTCAGTGGGGGAAGCATTTGGAATTTGCAGTGAAGCATTTGTTTGAGGCAGAATATAAACTCTGCAACGATGTGTTTGAGAGACTTGGTATGGATGTTTGGATGGGTTGCTTTGCGAAAATAGCTGCCCAAGCGGGTATTCTTGCGTTTCTTCAATTTGGGAAGACTGTTACAGAGAGCAAGAAGGACCCAATCAAACTTTTGAAATTGTTGGATATATTTGCATCTTTGAACAAATTGCGATTGGATTTTAACAGGCTCTTTGGGGGAGCAGCCTGTGCTGAGATTCAGAATCTGACCCGGGATCTCATTAAGAGGGTCATTAACGGGGCAAGTGAGATTTTCTGGGAACTTCTTGCTCAGGTAGAGATTCAGAGGCAAACCCCACCTCCTCCTGATGGAAATGTACCGAGATTGGTGAGCTTTGTGACTGATTATTGCAATAGGCTGCTGGGAGACAATTATAAGCCTATCCTGACTCAGGTCCTGGTCATTCATCGTAGTTGGAATCGCGAGAAATTCCAAGAGAGACTCCTTATTACTGAGATTCTCAAAATTATGAAAGCAGTAGAGCTGAATTTGGAGACTTGGGTGAAGGCTTATGATGATAGTAATCTTGCCAACTTTTTTATGATTAATAATCACTGGCATTTGTACAAGCACTTGAAAGGGACAAAGCTTGGTGAGCTCTTTGGAGAATCTTCATTAAAAGAACACGAACAGTACAAGGAATACTACACCACGGTTTTCTTGAGAGAGAGCTGGGGACAGCTTCCTGGTCACTTAAGTAGAGAAGGCCTAATTTTATTCTCGGGGGGGCGTGCTACTGCTCGTGATCTTGTGAAGAAAAGGCTGAAAAATTTCAATGAAGCTTTTGATGCCATGTATTCAAAGCAGTCAAACTGGGTCATGATGGAGAAAGATCTGAGGGAGAAGACATCCCAGGCTATAGTCCAAGTGGTTGTGCCTGTTTACAGGAGCTTTATGCAACACTATGGACCACTGGTTGAGAAAGACCAAAGTTCCAGTAAATATGCTAAATATACTGTGCAGAACTTGGAGAAAATGCTGGGTTCTCTTTATCAGCCAAAGCCAACTAGATATGGCAGTTTCAAAGGAAGGCAGCTTAGTGGAAAGTTTAACAATGGGCTACAAGACCTTCGTCGCACTACTTCTGCTGTTATGTAATTGTCCCATATATATTTACTCCATCATGGTTAACCCGCAAGGGAACCATGTTCCTATATATTGACCCAGTTGGTTGGTAGTCGGTTAGCCTGTTGCCATGTACATATCTCAAAAGAATGGAGTGGTTCTGCAATTTGAGTTGGAAGGTGGAAACAAGTTCATTGATTGCCTGAAACTCCACCTGGTGATGAAGTTTTTAAGTTGCCCGATATTCTTACCTACTGTGCAGTCTGTTATTCAAAGCTTGAAGATCTGAGTGCTGATGATCTAATTTGTGGATCTATAAGGTCAGATTGGAACACATTAATTTGTAGCTACTCATTTTACTCTTTGTATTCATCATTTCAGCCCGATTTCTTGAGTTGCTTGATAGGTGGCAGTATAATCATGTAGCTGCTGGGTGTTGTTTTTTTTGTTATCATAAATGTATTCAGCTATCTAGCAGCAAAGTTGAAGGTTCAGATCAGTGCTAGTATGTGAACTATTGTGGTAGAAAACATTTGCATGAGGGCTCAGGGTCACCAAAGCAGTGTTGTCAATAAGTAATGAAATCATAGTCTGCCATTAATTTTTATTCAAGAGCAAGCTAATGTTTTCTTCCCTTTCCATCTCTCTCTCTCTCTCTCTCTCCCCTGCTTGCTGAAATGATGTATCATCCTTGAGAAGCTTGAGAAGTAAATGCATCATCAAGCAAGGGCTTCTTTCTCATCCCTTCTCTGTCCTCCATAAAGTTGCGGAATGGGACGGGGATGTTCGACCTTATGATGGTGCTTGATACTCTATATGTTTCTTATTTAGCAGTTCCGCTAGATCTCAAGAGGGTGCCTGCTTTCAATGTCTCTCTTCTGATTACTGTATTTATGGTTCTCTTGGAACAGTTTGGGCTCATCTTTCCAGCATTACCTTAGCAGGTTGATGATTCTTCTTTAAACGCAGTTTATACTCATCTTTTTTTTATTTTTTGAGTTTGTTTTAGTCCCAGTTGATGAGTTTTACGTACAGAAAAACTCTGTAATGTTAAGTTGGAAAAATATTCGAGGGGATGGCTCATGATGTTAAATTAATTCTCGCGTGTCGTGATTCCTTCCCCCTTATAATGTAACTTTCTTTCTTTCTAACTTTCCTTGATATGCCAATAGATGTTTCATTGCTAGTATGTATATAAGACCATCTGCATTGGTAGTACATGGTCTGTGGTCTGTAGCATTCAGAATTTTCCCTTTTTTTGGCTGGAATAGCATTCTAAACTAGTTGGTATTTAGCAAACATCGGAACTCGGCATGATTCGGACAGGTAGATCTTCGGTTGCGATCCCTCAGAGAGAGTGAACAACTCTCTGCAATTCTTTTCTGGTGAGGTTTTTAATGTCTTGATTCGAGACGAGCGCGAGAGGGATGGATTGTATTCAGATAAGCAGAGTGAAATCAATAGTGGAAGGCAAAGCTGGTGGTTTTGGTAATTCAATCTTTTGTGTCACATTCCGGTTTTATCATTGAAACTGCCGAATCAGTCTGAACTCTGTAAATGCTCTAGTCCATCGATGGGAATAGTGCATTATCGAACTTCTGCAGAAACTCTCACCTTAAACAAAATTTAGAGTGCTGAATCTATTACGGAATAAAGTAAGGCCATCTAAGTACAAGCATCAAATACTTCTCCTGGCAACTGTCCTGTAGGTCAAGCCAGGTATTCCTTAATGTGGTGATGCCATTTATTTACATCCGGGTGCAGTTATGGGAATTGAGCTGCTAGCCCTAGTTCAGGGTACATCTTACATTGTGAAAGGCATTGCCAGACCACCCCTATCAGCGAACAAAAGCACCACCCATTATTATGGGGCAGATCTTTCTAGCTGCTGTCGAGATTCAGTTCCCCGTGGAAGCAATTCTTTAGATCTGGGATGCTTGAGCATCGCTGAAACCGGGAAAGTTGCGGGGTTTGTAATCAACCGTTCTTCTACTCGAGAATGAACACAAAATATAGCAAACCGGGTTGTCTTGTGGGGGCAAGATAACTCATTGTCGAATTGGTGAATTTAGTGTGTTGCACATAAAACCCGTGCGATCATAGTTGTGTATAGTTGAATCACAGTGATGCTAGATCAAGAAGGAAACCTGTACCGATAATCAAAGTTAGACGCCCTTGTTGACACCGAGTCCGAAGACGAGATCAATGTCGAGATCCGTATTTGAGATTTAAGATTGAGGTAGACAAGCTCCAATGCCGAGTTTGTGCCTGACTACGAGCTTATCTGTAGCCTTACCAAGAAAAAGCTGTATGATTGTTGCACTAAAGTATAATTATGGGTACACCAGCTGAGAATGACAGTCGAAGAATTTGATTTTGATGCCCCCAATGACGCAATGATGGTGTTGTATTCCTTACATTGAACTCTGCTTATCAAAGGGACTTGGGCATAGAAACCCACAGGCTTTCTACATCAGCTATTGATTGCAAACACAGGACTTCAATGTGGATGTTAAGGGTTTTCTTGGGCCATTAGGAAAGGAAGCTTTAGGGCATCTCTCTCTCTCTCTCTCTCTCTCTCATCTGGTAGATTGTGAATGTTCAGGAAATTTAATGTGAGTACATGAATGAAATGAGGAAGTATGTGGAAGTGACAAGAGTCAAATCTCTGTGGTCAATTAATTGGAAAGAAAAAATATATGATAATTATTCTTGGTGTCATTATTAGTGGAGAAGAAAAATTCTCCACAAGCTACTTTTACCAGCTTTAAATGTATTACCGACTATTTTGGAAAATTAATGCATCAACAGGGATGAAAGTTGTCTTGCAGATAAAATCCTCTCCTATGTTTGTATTTTTAATAAAAAACCAAGAATATCTCATATGTCTTAGTATCCATTTGCTAATAACTTTGGTTATGTTAGTAATTGTGGGTCTTTGCTAATATGTATTCTAAATTTTTGTAGGACCTTGAAATCGAGGGGCAAATTAACCGATCAATCCTAAACGTATTATACGGATGCCAATTCAGTCATAAATTTTTCAATTTTGCCAATTTAGTCATACACATATCCGCGAAATTTTAATACAGTCATTTCGGCCATCCTACACGGCACACCTCACATTAGCGATTTCCTCCAAAAATCAATCGAAAGGACTACATTAGAATTTCGTGCGAAGGTTTAGAATTCACGTGGTATCCATACATTAAATTCATGGCTAATTGGATAAATCTCCTGAAATTGGATGAGGCAGCTTCTATAAAGGTAGGTAAATAAGCTATTGTTGATTATCTGGATTGCTAAAGCTGTGAGGTGTCTAATCTCAATCACAACATGTCTGGCTTCCCACGGGGGAAATCGCAGGTCAAATGTTGGTGGTTCTGGTTAGACTGTCCATCGATGCTGAAACCAAAACAGGAGCTTGCTGCTGGTTCAGGTCAACTTGACTGTTAGCTCAAAGAAGAGGAAAAACAATAATAAACAATAATAAACACGTGACTTTTCTAGCATAGTTGCGCCCCAAATGAGAAGCAAAATGAAAAATAAAATAAAAATAAATAAAACGTGGAACCTCTTGCTTTGTGGAAATTCAATACCCAGCATCTCATCCAAATCGAGGACATCGTACTGTAAAAATCAAAGACTTTTTTAATTAGTGGGTTTAGCTGGCAAGCTGATGTTTTCTAATCATCAACTGGGTCATTGGATTTCACCTAACTTAATGACATTGTTTAATTTGGGATTATATGTCTAATCTAATCTAATCTAAAGAGATAAGGTAGGGTAAGCAAGATAAGCCTAGGAGTAGGACAGCCCACGCTTTGCTTCATTCCTTACATTGACCCAATGATCTAACTTTGATTTAATTAATCCTACTCTTTTCCAAGATTAATTTTCTACTATGCCCATGTTTGAATATCTGTCTGCCAATAAGACATAGTCCACCAATGTTTTTTGGGTGTTTTTTTTTTTTTAAGGATTAGGGAATCTTCATGAGCATTTTCTTGTCATGGTGTTCATATACGCATGTTGGACAACCTGGCGATTACATTTCTTGGCAGATTAGTTCCGGATTGATGATTCGTGTTCACAACACAACATTGAATCCATCAAATCTGTGTTTGTCGTGGGATCGATGTGATTCCTTTTTTTTTTTTATATCCTGATGATAATGATAGCGATGGTGTTTACTGTTTACGGTGTGAAAAAGATAGAGCAGCGACGGATGGTGTTTACTGTTTACAGCGTGAAAAAGATAGAGCAGCGACAAAGAAAACGCGTACCAACTTCAAAAAGTCGGTTTGAAGCTGAGATAAGTGAGCTATAAGTCATAAAATATGTCGCGGAACGACAATTAAGTCTTACTTTCGAATAGTACGATCGAGTCTAGAAACTTATCAAGTTGCATAATCAAGAATTTGTTAACTCTTTTCTCATTTGGCTAATGAATAATGCTGAGATGGTTTTTTCTTTTTATATATTTTCTGTCTCTAACAATGACCAAAATGAGTATCTTAATTTTTTTTTTCCAAACCTTAATTAAACTAGATTTAAAAGTAAAAAGAAAAGCAGGCAACAAACATCAACAAAGAGAGAGACGGAAGGGGTTGGGCCTCCTAATTCGTTAGCAAGGGCAGGCGACCTTCGCTTGGTCATAGGTGATGGTCATGAGCCCTTAACTGTATGCGGTGGGCCAAGTGGTGGTGCCACCAGCGTACGATGGTGAGTAATCCCTCCCCTATGGGCTATGGCTAGGCAAGGGTCGCCGGCCTGCACCGACACTGACACCGACACCGACGAAGCAGGGTGATTGACCCTAAGCCCCAATCTATGTTTTTTTATATCCATTTTTTTTACTTTTCTTTTGGAAATTTTACCCTTTTCTTTTTTATTTATCGACCTTTTTTCTAATGCAACTTCAACACGGACCACATGTCTTCAGAAAATATGAGAAAATGTCATATTAGCATTTCCCGTTAGCTAAATTAAACGAAACTAACCGAGATTTGATTATACCAATTTGACAAGTTTTGGAATCCGATTGCACATTTTGAAAGGATTCTCGATTGTATTTTTGGGACTAGTTTTGGGACTTTCGATCTATTTATCCCCAATAAGATTAGTTTTGGCCAGCAAGGTTAAGTCGATATGTGTGCACTTAGAACCTATGAGATCATCAAAATTTTAGAGGGAAAGACAATTTTTTTTTAATTCAGATGATACGAGAAAATCTCAGGAAATCATGTCGGTATATAGATTATCATAAACAACTTACGTATACAAATTTCGTCCATTGATAATGTTATTGTGAGCGACTTCTTCAAAACTTCTCTCTTAAATCACAGCAAGATAACGAGTGCATGCCAGGTCCTTTTACGGACAAGAACCTTCTTTTTGGAGTAATCTTCTAACATACAAAGAATCTAATTAACTTTATAAATTATGTGAAACGCCAACGATAAATATCGATTTTATTAATCTACGAGTGATTTGAATTTTTAGTGTCAAAAAAATTCAACCCAAAAATTCGAGCTAATTGGTCACATGCAAGTTAGATCAGGAACAACACATGAAATTTGATGAAAAGGGGGCCGCACAGGCGAAATAACATGGGGGTAGAACTTGATTCCGATATCATGTAAGAAAGTCCAATGCATACGTGGAGGGAGACCGTTGATATATAAAGAGTATAAAAATCCTGTAAACAATCGAAGGCGGGACCCTTTAACGATAAGGTCTTATGTAGAAATTAAGGACTACTTTTTATAATTATGATGTGATAGAAGTTCTTACAACTAATTTGTTAGTCGTGAAAGCTTGGTTGTCAAAGGGAAAAATTACCAAGAAAACGAGCTATGGACCCCATAGAGAGTGGCACGAAATTTCTTCTTCTTTTCATTTAGCTTACACGTTTTTACCTTCTCCGCCTTTCGTCTTCCAAGTTCCAGGAATGTGCTTTGCTTACGCAAAACAGACTCTGGGAAAAAGCCAAAAGAACTGTCAAACTTACAAAGAGCTCAACTGGAGTTTGGCTTTGTTCTCCCTCGTTGGTTCATGCGTTACTGCTTGGTATGAAAATTAGGCGAGGAAGCCGAATCACCGTCCATGGCGATGGCTCAGTGATAAAGAGAGTTACGATGTCGTTCACTATATCAAAAGTTCGAATCATATCGTGAGAGAGAGAGA